TTTTTTTTTTTTTTTTTTTTTTTTTTTTTTTTTTTTTTTTTTTTTTTTTTTCGCTTAAAATTAACACTTATTCATTCACTCGCACCGTGGTGATATGTAAAAAAATATTTTTCATATTGAATATACATACATGTAATTTTAAAAGTACTTTGGCACTGGGATTATAATTTAGGGCTGATTTTTTCGAATTTTTTCGTATTTGCAATTATGCATTTAACATCGATGGATACTTTCAGTTTTTCATGATTTTTTTTTTTATAATTTAAAACCATTTCTATACTACTTTACCTTTTTTTGCAATATATTCGTGTACGAGTGTGCAGAAAATTACACTTTGTATATTTATTACGATTGAATGGTATCAACTTATATCTATTATGCGAATTAAGTATGAAATGACGGAAACTTGTAAATTCGTAATAATTGTACTTTTAAATCGTACATATATCTCTTACAATAGTTAATAACACAACTTTTACAGAAGGTCCAGTTAGAGGTTTTTTTTTGTTTTTTTTTTTTTTTTTCAATTCGCAAAATTTATTGTAAAAAAATTGATTAAATTAAGATGATTAATTTTCCGATTTAGTATACACCGTGAGAGTAAAATTAATAATAGGATTTTTTGTACAATAGAGTCAAGTACTAGATGCATACAGGTCACCTTATACATTCTTATTTACACAGAAAAAATAAAAAAATCATAAACAAAACATTAATTTTAAACTTTTGACTTACCTTTAGAGTCTTGATTTTTTTTGTTCGTTAGTATAACGAGGCAATGGGGTTTCAGCAGTCTTTTGCATCACTATTGCTTTCTCGAATTCATTATTTTGTTCAAAGTAATACGTATCGTTCATTATTAAGTCTATAAATAATCGTATACTATAAAAGGTTACTTTCTTATACTTGTATGTACTGTAAAATCTGTATAAATATTCGATTGTACCAATACATACATATATATATATATATATATATATATATCGATCTATATACGTATAACATCGAAAGGATCTAAGAAGGGCACAGTTGGATGAATCGTGAAATAAGAAACACACCGGACGCGTTTTTCGAAAACGAAAGACGCTCTTCAAAATTTTGGAAGACGAAATTTGGGCGCTACCGTTCCTCTCTTTTCCCATTCACGTAAGAAAATCATACTTTAAGTACACGTAAGAAAATCCTACATTTGCATTGCACAACAAAAGCAGTACGTATTTGAAGGTATTGAAAAAAAAAAAAAAAAAAAAAATTATTCTCCACAACACTCCTTAAATTCTGTCATGCTCAATCACAATATGTATATCATATAAATCGTTCGTCGGGTACAGAGCATGCAAGTTACGCGATAATAAAATGCCTATTCACACACACATGTGTGCACCTATATACTGACACGGACGTAAGTGAGAACCGCGAAAAAATACCGCGTTGATGATCTCCCGGTTCGACAAGGGCGCGAGGTGAGTCCTCGGGGCGCGCATTAGCAGTAATTAGTCTCCATGTTTCGGTGGACGGTGACAGCGGCGATGACCCGGTGGGGCGACGAGGCGATGTTCGTCGTTGGCGAGGGTACTATGGTCGAGCTCGACGTGGCCGGCGACTCGAGAGCCGTGACACTGGCCGTCGTGGGTACAGGTCCGTCGTTGGGCCCGTTGGCGAGCACGAGCAGAGGCTCGGAGAAGTTGTGCTGCTCAGAGTCGTCGTGGGGCGTCATGGTGCTGTACCCGTGGTCGCTGTCCGCCTGGGGTGCCCGCCTATAGCCGCTTGATACGCGGTAGGGCGAGACCACGGGTACCGCGGCAACCGCCGCGCAATCGCGCAACAAGGCCGAGTCCATGCTAGGCTTGGGCTCGTGATCGGTAGGCTCGAGCTCGCAGTCCAGGTGAGTCATGCGCAACGTGTCCGGCGAGTTGTGGTTGTGGAGACACTGGTGCTCTAGGCCCGTGTGCACGTTGCGCAGCCGGTGGCAAAACAGAGCCAAGCCGACGGCGAGCAACAACCCAAGGATAACCCCGGCGACCGAGCCTACTCCGGGCCAATCGTTTGCCAACATCTCTTCGCTGGCCTGCGAATCTTTTGTAAAACAAAAAAACAAAAAAACATTATTTATTTATTTATTTATTCATTTAGTTATTGTTTTTTTTTTTTTTTCTTTCTTTTTCCGTACCATAGCTGCCGTCGCCGTAGGGAATGCTGGCCCCAAGAACGCCGCGGAAGCAAAGCGCCAGATCGGCGCAGTAGGGCTGGTCCAAGGTAGTCTCGGCGTCGCTGTCGAGTTCGCACCACTGGCACCCAACGACGCCCAGGCAATCGGAGCGAGTCGGTAAGCTCCGGCAACTGAACGCCTGGCAAGGACGGAGGGCGCTCGTCGAGCCGCTCTGTATCCAGGGCGCGGAGAGCCCGGCCGAGCCTTGTTCGTGGGGCGCCGGACAAACCTCGAGTTTCGTGTCAGGTGCCTCGCGAGATTGGCACTCGCTCGTGTACAGGGAACACTCGCACGGGCACTCGCAGTCCATTTGTTCCATCCTTATGCAGTTCAGGCACGAGCGATCCGTCTGTGTGGTGAAACACAATGATCATCAGCCATGGGACACGAAACAAAAAGGATCAACCATATGTACTGAACGATAAACTCACGGTGCTGCACGGGCAGAAGGCGTTGCTGGAGCTGCAGGTGACGTTGACGACTCCGAGGAAGAGGTTGGTGCCCGGTACCGCGGCCAGCTGGTAAAGCACGCAGTGCTCACCGTGCACGATGTTGGTGAGGACCTCGTCGAGCGAGACGTTGAACTGATAGTAGCGCTGGCCCGTGCCGTCCATGTGGCTCGCGCACATTCGCTTGTTCACAAAGTTCTCGTGGTTGAGGATGTCGTTGGCCACCAGGAACTCCTTGTTGGTCAGGTGCTGTTGCTCCACTTTCGCGCCGGGCTTCATCAACGCCGGGTGGTACACCAGGTAGCCTGCGAGTCAGCATCGAATCGGTCATACATACGTGTCACACACTGAAAGTAACAAAAAATAGTATACTCACCCTTGTCGTCCATGAGGAAACACTTGACGCCGTCCGATCGTCCGCAGAGTGGGAACAGCTGCTCGAGCATGCGGCCAAAGTAGCCCAGAGTGAGATCGAGCCCGAGGACGGCAAAGGCGGGATCGCTACTGCTGTGCAGGCCCACGGATCGGCCCTCGTGCACGAGCCGACTGAGAGTGACGACGTAACCGGCGCCCCCGGCGTCGAGGTACGGCGGACCGAGGACCAGCCTATCGGGTTGCTCGAGGCCACGCACGTACCAGGCCCGGCGTTTCGGATCCAGCTCGGCGTCGAGAACGAGGCCCGGGTGCAACACCAGAGCACCCGAGCCGACAGCCACGCCGTAGCGCTGTACCACGAAACGCTCCAGAGGACCCTCGGTGGCCCGCCGTTCGCGGAACAACTCGAGCAGCCGACCGAGTGTCTTCAACTCGGGCTTGACGTCGTCGCGCAGACCAGGATTCGCCAGCAAGCGCGTCTCGTCGCGCAGATAGGCCATGTAACTCTGGACGGTCACGCGGGCCGCGAGGCCCAACTGGCGGGCTTGCTCCGCTGCCGAGCGGAAGCACCAACCGGACAGGAAGAGTACTCCCGCCTCGTGGCTGGCCACGCGACGGTTACCCGCGTGAGCGCACAGACTGTCCCTGCGCAGCTGACCGGTGCCGAGCGCCAAATCTAGCCGGTGGTGTAACATACCGGCGTTGAGGGCGCCATCCGGACGCACCAGACCCAACCGTAGGCTCACTTCCTCGATAGTTGGCTGCTTCGGTGGCTTGTTCTTGTCGGGGCTGGTGGTGCTGGGAGTTACGGGCCGGTGTCTGCTCAACAGGTGGGGCCCCGACACCACCAGGCAAACTATCAGTTCCGAGTAATCGAGCTGCCGCCAGTAGAGTCGCTTCTCTGTGCCCAGTAGCGTCTTTACCTGGACCACGCCTTCAGACTCTTGGGCCATCCTACCATAATAATAAAACAATGATCAAAAGTTAGCCAATGTGGATGTATTATGTAATGAGGACAAAATACCCACCTTGTACTAGCCACGATGTCCTCGTCGAGGTTCTCTATCTGATGGAGGTAAACCTTGAGCGGCTGTTCAATTATGGTCTCCATCCTCGGGAAGTTCTTGTGCATCCAGATGACGCCTCGTTTGTCAAGGAGTATGGCGTGCACCTGTTGGCTGCCCACTTCGAAGTACGTCACGTCCTCGACAAAGTCCCGAAGTTTGACGTCGAACGAGAGCAAGGCTGTGTTGGTTATCTGGCCAATGGACAGCATCATCGCTTTGCTGTAGGGCTCAAAGTACGGATCCGAGAGGTAATAGGGCTTCGCGTCCTCCTTGGCGCACTTGAGACCTTGAGTTGGTTCGAATATTTCAATTGATTTTGTCCACAAAGCACACAACTATCGTTATATATACGTACCGGCAAACAAGCGCGCGATCTCGTAACCGAGCACGTGCTGCGTCGGCAGGGTGATGACGCTGCCGTTGTTGGAGTGCTCCTTGAAACTGGTCTGTTGCAGCTGCTGATTCGACAGTATGAGGATCGTCCTCAGGTGCACTACGAGCCGTTCGTTCTTAATGGCCTCGGCTATCCTGTTGACATCCGAGTGCAGCCCGGCGTTTAAATTGTTGGTCAGGTGCACGAGCACGAGCTCACCCTCGACGTTTCGGACGATCTTGCCGACGTCCAGGCCAAAGCTCTGATTCGCACTCGACCTGACGAGCGAGTCTATGTGCCTGTCCAGTCGGATCTTGTGTATGTCCGTGGCCCTTGGCAGGCCCTGGTCGAGGCACAGCCCACCACCACCGGCGGCCAGGCCGATCACGGTCACGCGGTCGGTTTCTAATTTGAAAAAAAAAAATAATAATAATAATAAAAACGTTAATTGTGAAAACTCGTAGCTTGGTAAATAAATACTCCAAATTGATGAAAAATCTTTGTACCGCTTAGCATGTGGACTATCGTCTTGGCCGTTATCTGGGCGAGCGTCTCGTCCTCCTCGGACATGAAGCCGGCGTTTTGTTCAAGCAGGAGGATTATGTTTTTGGAGCGATTGCACTGGGACAGCAGGAGGGGACCTATGTTGTGGGCCAAACTCGGTGGGCCGCACATTGTGCCTGGCTGACTGACCTGTAGAACAAATAGGAAACGTCAATTTCGCACAAGCGTTGCTTACAGAATTAAAAAAAAAAAAAAAAAAAAAAAACCGACGGGCAGTATATGCAGGTTCTTCCAGTCCTGGTTGCGGACGTTCATGGCGAGCGCATCTATGATTTTGGAGCAAGTGTCGGAGGGTTTGCCGCTCGCGGTATCCGTTTTCCTGCCAAAGCTCAAATAAACGTCCTGGCCCTGTTTGAGCAGTATAGGCTGGACGACGCTGTTGCTCTCCCTGAGCAAGTCGGTGTACTTTTTGAGCTTGTCGTTGAGGCTCTTGGCCAGATCGTTCAGTCGCGCGCTGATAGTCGTCACCAAGTCGACGAAAACTAGCCTGTCCAGGATGCCCTGGAACTTGCCAACCCCTAGCTCATCCTCGCCCAGGGTGTACAAGTGCTTCGACAGGTGGACGACCATGTCACGCAAGCACATGCCGTCAAGGGCTGTAACATCGATTTGCTTCCTCGGTGATTTTCCAAACTGACACTTTGGCGCGTTGTTGGTGTCATCTTGGATGGCCGAGCTTGATGCTACTACTATAAGCGCTATCAGTAGAATAATGGCACTGGGTGTCGACCCCCGAGAACTAGTCATGGTTGATTCTTCTCTGGAGTCTACTTTTTTTTTTTTGTTTTTTTTACATATGCTTTGTACTACGTGTACTTGTATGCTTATGATTAATATTATTTTTGTGGTACATATTATTTTTTAAATGTCTTTTATGGCACGACGTATAAGTGGTCCTCTTGGTAAAAGCTCATCGTTGACAATTTTTATTGGCAGCTTGTTGGCTCTAACTCAAACTTGTACTTGTATGTATACTAGTCAGACTTTTTTTTTTTTTTTTTTTTTTTAAATGCTGGGAGATACTGTGCAGGCCTGTGGTGAGATACAATTATTGTTAATATCAGAGTACCTGAAAACAGTGTGAAAATATAAATGAATGCAAATTTGATAAGAAAATTGGGGCAGAGATGATGGAAAATTATATGCTTACTTGGGTTCGTGACCTTCCTTTTTCTACTCTAGAAGGGGTGATAAATTTTTTTTGTTCTAAGAGGTAAATATTGTCGTTAGAAAAAAAAAAAAAATTATGCATGAACAAAATCTAAAAATATAATATCGACACCGCGATGTACACGCATATTATACACACACACACACACACACAACTATCGCTAATGCGTCTGCCGTTCTTCTTTCCCAGCTTCTTTGATCCCAAGATGCTTCCTCTTTTCACGAGCAACAATTGCACGCCAACAGCACTCGTAGTATTTATTCATTCTCGATTTGTATTCAATACAAAACTTTTTTTCCTCTCCACTCGAGTATCGTTCGAACGCCGGGTTGACTGATTTTGTTGTTTACATTGTATATTTACACCGGATGTGATTCATCCATGTCTTGCAAATATCACAATAAATCCTTACAACTCTCTCGGCGTATACTCCTACCCTTCACAAAGTTTTGTTGCACAGCAGCAGTGCAGTTACCACATATAGCATAGCTCTATATACAGGTATATGTATGGAGCATCATAGTGTGAATTTGTATGCATGCAGTTAGATGTTCCTATATACCCGGGCTCCTGTGTCCTTCCTTCATGGTGTTTACCGTGTAGCAACTGCAGCTATTACAGGTTGCTGACAGAGCTACAGTGCACAACTTTTCACCTGCAGGTAAATTGAGAAGATTTGTCCTCACCATAATACCGCGATTATTTTTTTTTATCAATAAGTTTTACTTTATTAGACTAGTCATTTATAAATGAAATTTTAATTGTCGACTGATTACAGCACCAATATTACTGTAATATATCAAAAATATTAATTAAGATAATGTTTAAAAAAGCAGGGTTTGGATTTAATCATAAGATATTTTTTTTACACAGATTATCGCAAATGCGAGAAATCTTTTTATTGTTTTAATAATGTGGCTTGGACAATAAATGATGTACAAAAGACATTTTTCTATTTCTCTTATATATAAACATAAGGTGCTTATGTTGTGGTTTTAATAGTAAACATTATTATTACAACTATTATTAATGCAAGATGCAGTTATGACCATTCACACTTATCCTCTTGTAGATAATTTATCTAAATTTATTGTAAGAAACGTTAGCCAAACTATGAATACTAATTATCATTCAAATATTATACACACTTAGGCTGGAAAATTTTTAATACCAGTAAACATTTGTAAAATGTTCGATTCAAAAACACTAAAAGTGTTTGTTTTTCAAAATTTAAGTCAAATGATACAAGTTTTTTATGTTCGTTATTAGAATTTTTTTTCAGATCATTCATTTTGTCAATATTTCGCGCTGGATAATGAAAGTCATTTTTTCTAAAAATTACGTCTTAAAATTATGTCGCATTATTAGTTTCTGCCTCAACTACCTCGGTTGACTTTGGGTCGATTTTTGCTTTCTTCGGTGTTATCACGTCTTTTGATTCTGTCTCGGCACTTGTTGATTTCCTCTTTATGCTGCACACGTCATTAGCAACTGAAAATACAATTTTGGGATTAAATATGCATTGATCAAGAAATCAAAACTTTTCATTTTTTACATTAGCGGTAACAGTGTCGAAAATTTGTTTACCTTCAGAATTACCATTGGTGGACTCGACTTCTTTCTTATCAGTCTCATCCTCCTCACTAGTGCCATTCTGTTTTTCTTCTTCCTTGGCAGTTCCGTTACCGTTTTCAGAAGCCTTCGAGTCCTCATCGGTTTCCTCATCTTTTTTCACTTCTTTTGTTTCCTTCGTCTCCTTTGCTTCTTTTACTGGACTATCGACTTTCTTATCCTTGCCATCCTTGACTTCCGTCACCTCCTTAGATTCCTTTGCTTCTTTGACGGGAGACTCTTTGACAGCATCATTCTTTTCGGTCTCAACCACCTTCTTTTCTGGGGACTCGGCGACTTTGGTTTCTCTGAAACGAAAGTGAGTCGAATCGTAAGTATATTTCAACATTTGTTACAATAATCAAATTAGTCAATAGTATGTACTTTTAGGTTTACAACATTTGTAATTACACAAGGGGATTTTGATAGTAAACATTGGATGTCGACCATTAATTGTTCAAAAAGTAACCAGTTGTAAACAATTGAAAATGGATTGACTCGTACTTGTAACATGGAACAAAATATCTCAAAATTGTTCCAAGTAAAGTGTTGTAGAAAAATTTGAGCACTATTTTAGGAAAAAAGGCAGGGCGGCTTAGATGATGGTTGGACCGGCTTATAAATTTTGACATCATGCAATTCTTAAATCTTTTTTAAGAATTACACGAGAAGTCCTACGTATGTCCATTTCGAGATATCTTGGCGAGTTCATTTGTTTTGCAAGACGTCCAAACGACTAGTTATAGAAATTTAGAGAACTTGTGTTTGCCGGCAAATCCGGAGTTGGAACCGCTTAGATCATTTGTACAATCGAGAACACCTATATACACAGAAATAATATCAATGGGAGAGTGAGCTGACGCGCGGTCTCTCATAAGTGGCGCCGCATCGCTATTATCGGCCGAGAGAGACCGGGTTGCCTTTTCTATTTCTTCAGACGGTTGCGAGAGAGGAGATGGCGGAGGAGGAGGGAGTAAGAAAGTAAGGCACGCGGAACACGTTGGATAAGTACATGTAAAAGAGAAAAAAAAAAAGACGCCGCCACCATTACTGCATTGTACAGAGCTACATTCAATTTCCCAACTTAACGGCATGACACGTTTAACATCTCGGCAATCATAATAACATACTCGAGAGAGCGCGCGAACCAATCTCCAACCTTGAATCGAGATTTAACTGTTGCATGTGTAACGAATATCAAACGGACGCGAATTCTTTAGGTCCCGATCAACGGACGAATCGATAAACCAACAAAATCATTCAAGTTTAGGTCCTCGACCAGATAAACACGAAGGGCTAGTTAGGGGTATAGGGAAGAGTCGTTTCTATTGCTCTCCCCCATGTACACCATGTTCGCGCGTGCACGCGCAAAGTAGATACATGTTACACACATGCAAGAAGAGAAAAGAGCCGCTCTGGCACACACACGCGTAGAACGTTGGTTGTTGGCGCGCACGAGAAAGCAAGCGGTGGATCGATAAGAGCCGGTAACCGGCCGCTCTCTCTCTCTCTCTCGCTTTTGTTGAGGTGCCGAGTTTTACTGCGCCAGGTAACCCCAACTGGGGTAAAAGGTACATCATGCGTTAATTGCTCTCTGGAGGAGAGCATCGATACTTTAAAGGCCTAGCGCCGCGCACCGTAACCTTTTTTCCCAGAGGGATCGAGAACGAAAAAATCGATGCGCGACACGGAAACAAAAAGGGACACAAAAAATCTGGAGCGTCGCCAGTAGCCAGATGAGAGACATGGACAACGGCCTCGTTCCGCGCGTGGCCGAAGAAAAAAAAAAAAACACGCTCGATCGTGCAAGTCAGCAACACGTAAGCAAGCGCGTACGAGCGAGAGTAAAAAGATGGTAAATGCGCGCAAACGAGAACCGTACGACGAACAAACGAACGCCGGCATGGGAACATCGCCATATTGATCGGGACGAGGGGGAGTCAAGAGAGAGAGAGAGAGAGAGAGAGAAAACTGCCACGGGCACATGCATGCATATGTATATACATATAGGACGTGCAGCAAAATGCCGGTTGCCGCGCTTTTTTCCTCCCACGTCTCCTTTCTCCCCAATGCGTCCCGGGTAATGAAGCATATCCTTGGTTAACGTGCACTGGTACTCACTTTGTTTCGACGTCAGCCATTTCTGCCGGTTGGGTTATGAAGATATCGAAGAGCAACCGCTACTGTACACACTTGGCAAAGTGAAGTTATTCACTTTTTCGTTGACGAGACGACGAGGAGTTGATTATTGTACAAATAATCGGTTATATACACAGGTTATATCGAGGTAAGTACAAGAGATACGTGCTTCAGCAAGAGAGACTGTAGCTGTTGCTGCTTCACGAGACTATAAGCAAAAGGCTCGAGGTTACGGCGGCAGTTATGGGACGGCTGCGGCGCTGCTTGGCGGCTCGGACGGCGGCGCTTGACACGGAGGAGGGGGGTAAAAGCCGTACTTCTCTCTCTTTTCAACGCAAGTTGGCTTCGGTGCGCGCGCAAGACACGAATTTTGAAAGGGGCGAAGAAAATGATGGTGGGGTCGAGAAGCGGCACGGCGTAAAAGAGGGCAAACGCGCGGAGGGGCGAAGGGGGGCACAGGAAGCGCGCGGAGCCGGCTGTTTTTTTTGTCTCCTTTTTTTCTTTTGAACCACAATCTTACATACATATACCTACATAGTAGTACGAAGACTATACGAAGAAGCAGATGAACCAACGTTGGTGCGAATGTGTGGCGTGTGGGTGTGCCCTTTTCTACGTGTTTAAGGTCCGTTTACTTTACCCTTGCGGCCTCATACCTTTGTATACACCATCATCATCGCGCAACCGTTTCCCCTCTGGCCCCCTCCCCCGTACCTCCGCACTTTTTTTTGTGCCGGCTTACATGACCTTTTCTCTCTTATGGTTGTACGTGTAGATACAGATATACTGCACCTCGTAAGAATTAGAAAAAAAAAAAAAAAAAAAAAAAAAAAAAAGACATGCGGTGTGCGGTCCCGAGAGAGACACGAAAAATATAACTCATCGGGGCACCAGGTGTTGCACGAAAATCACTAAAATGTCCGTTATGATGTTACAAGGTGATAGTGCACACGCGCTACGCTCCAAATTTTTTTTTATTTATCAGTTCTTTGAAGTTTACAAAAAACATTACCAATACGAGTTCCCCGAAGTCTGACGTACGCCTTGACATTTTGCCATTAGTGATAACATTAAACTTAATTGGTGTGAAACTCGTGTTGAGATATAAAAAAAAAGTCGATGAGGTGTCGTAGATTCGATTTTGGGGGAAATATTACACATAATTTCTTCTTTTAACAAGTTATTGCTTGAGTATTTAGATGTGCCGGTTTTTTTAGACGATGACGACGACGATGATATGTGATTGCCGTTATCGGTAACGTCGTTATCCACCAGATTTTCTGCTGATAAACGACGTCGCGCGCGAGTATTGAGTAATCGTCCGAGTAGTGTCGTTATTTGCAACTAATGATTTTGCGCTCAATCTAAATTTTTATTATAACTTTTCACACGCGTCAAATGGCAAAGTTTCGTCTGTAGGTTAGTTACGATAATCCTCGAGAAAAACGCGAGTATTTAGTTTCTATATAAACAGTTTGTTCAATGTTCAAGTCGATAGCAGAGAAAAACTTGAGGATTAGGTATATAGAAAGAAAATAGATAAGGCACACTACGTAATATAGGTATTTTTGACTAAATGGAACACGATAAGAACTGATTTAACGTGTTTTATCTCCAAAAAGTCGTACAACCAGCCATACAGTTTTCAGCTAAAGGTTATTTGACGACGCTAATTATGAGGCACTTCTTACGTGTTTAAAATAACATTATTTGTTACTCAAGAAGATAAAATTAGTTTTTCCACGTTAGGGAGGCTCATTTTCTCAAAAACGATTTCAACTTGCACCAAACTTTGATAAAACTCAATGACACAGAGAGATAACGATACAAAAACTTTAAACGAAGCTATTATCAATTACAGAAAAATTCATTTGAAATAGTGAAGCTTTTTTGTCCTCGATTTGAACTTTCTGAGGTTCTTTTAGTTCTCGTACGATATTTTTGAAAATTTTTGGAGGAGTCTTGAAAAAGCATTACTCTTTACAAATTGTAAAAAAAAAAAAAGAAAAAAAGTTCGACCTTCGCGCAACCGAGTCGTAATTTCCAAGTCCATCTCATAACTGTCTTCTTATTAGCATTGCCATTAAACACCTCTCGCGAGCGCGTGAAAGAAAGGTTGTAAAAAGGAAAAAAAAAAAAAAAAAGGTCAATTAGCCTTGGCTGTACACACAACATGTGTTTGAACACGCGTTTAAATTTTGTTCCGCCTAATCGGTACTCGAGAGAAATTTACCGTCAACGACACCCTCGACCGATGTAAAACACGCGTTTATCATCGTCTTGGTGGAAAATCAATTTAAAAAAAAAACGTTTGGTTTATCAATCCATTCGAGAAAGTAACATTCGATTCGTTTAATTATCAAAGTGCTTGTCCTCTCGTGCTCGTACATATACACACACTTATTTGCCTTCTCCCATGAGGTGTAATTATAGCGTGTATATACGCGCTCTGCACATCGCGGCAAAAAGAAAGAAGAGAGAGAGAAAGAGTATAGGGTAAACTTTATGAAGACTCAACTAAACTGCGGCTCCGTGCGCGCGCTATTGGTTGTCCTCGTTCTTCGATTTATAAATAGCAAATACATTATATATGTGTGTACACAAACACGTGCTCACTTCTCTTTGTTACAAACCTTTACGTGTGTGTGTACAATAAAATATACACAACTTTTTTTTTTTTTTCGTTCCATCTCGATACACATGTAATAATTTTAACTCTTATGAATGTACAATATATACGGGGATGCTGCTGTGATTGAACAAGTGTTTTGCGCTCATCGATTTTCATGGCACGCGTTGATTTTTGGAATCGGTGGCACTGTTTTATTCGATGGAAAGGAGAAAAACAAAAAGTTAAATTCAAAATCGGATGGCTGAGAAAAGAGCCACGTAAACAACACAATGATCGTGCAATAACATTTTACGATGGATTTTATTAATTTTCGACACGACATTTTTACATGTACGGGATGTTTGTTTTACTTGTGCGTGTGTATGAAAATTTAGTTTTGAGCCGAAAACTCGAGTGATTTACATCGGATTGGGCTTCAATTTCATGAATATTCTGATAGAACGCGATGGTTTGCTGGTCAAGAGCATGAAACTCCAAGTAGAACAGTTTTTTTTTTTTTTTTTTTTAAGCTGAAACTTTTTAAATTTACGTTTTAACGTATTTATGTAATTGTTAGTCACACTTTGCATACAAGAGCAAAACATAATAATATCTTTCGTGAAATTAAAGCACTGTAATGCGATGATAACACATTTATCTTGTGTTTCTGCACACTTATTGTCACGGAAAAGATATTTTTACGTCTTCTACAACTTATACATATGTATGTGAACATTAAAATCGAATTAAAAAAAAAAAAAAAAAACCAACGGTGCAGAATATTTCCCTACATTGAGTTAACAAGAGATGTATGTAACAACTTTTATATGTTATATTTTGCATCTAATATAAAATTATTTTACAATATTCAAGACACCGAGGAAAGAGTAGTTCTACAAGAAAGACAGGTTTTCGTTATCTTTCGTTATACATTTGGTAATTAAATTACTTAAAATGCCGACGAGCGCGACCAACGCATTATTTTTTTTGAAAGCTCCAAGAAAGAAAGAACTATATGATTCGTAGCTTGCGAGCATTTTTGAAAATTATTCCATACCCTCGTAAATGAGAGTGCGAGAGTATTAACAGTTAAGAATACCTTTTTACATCACCTAATTTATTTATTTTATTTCGAAAACGATACATATGATCCCCGAGAGCAACTTGGTAGCGCCATCGCTCGTCAAGCTCCTGAAGCTATACAGCTTTCGGACGTTTGGGTAACCCCTAAAGACGCCGCGGGGAGTTCATTTTTTTTTCTTTGATGTTCCGTGTGCACGCGGGAGCAATTAATCGCTATACTCTCCCTTCCTGCCCCCCCCCTCTCATCTAATGAGCTTTAATTTACTTGAAAAACGACTTGTGTGTTTATATAAATTTTCTTCGTACTTTTGTACATGGGTCATTTTGAAAAAACCGATGTGTTTTCAAGAATTTAGGGTTTTTTTTTTTTTCTCTTAAAATAATAAAGTTATGACTTTGCGGGCCCCACTTTTGCCACATGGTACACTATAATGGGTGCCGTTGCTGGCTACAGCAATGTGCAAAAATAGGATCTTACTCTTCACGTGTATCAGGTATTTTTACCCTTTACCGTCCGAGTCGCAAAAATACTTACACTGCATTTTAAATCGTTTAAGAGTCTTACTCATGTTTTATTTGTATGAATGTGCAAGGCTGTGTAGCACTGGCCAGTGGTGATGGAGAAAATATAAAAAAAAAAAAAAAAATTGAACTTCCGTCTGGAAGACAAAACGTTCGAATTGTATCCGTCTAAGAGCTATATTAGTATTAACCACGCAGTCAGAAGTGAAAATTTCCTCGTGGAACGTCAGCTCGTACGGCCGATTTAACGACTTTTCTTTAAAAATCAAATCTTCGTTGTAACCTTACGAGCTAAAAAAAAAAAAAAAAAAAAACTATGGCATCAAACAATTAAGTTTTAAAATGCCAGACCTGGAAAATTCCGTTTATTGTAAAATGGCCCATAAGTATATGCTTTTGATACTAAAAGTGACTGTGTAAGATCTCTCGGACGTTGTAGCACAAAAAAAAAAAGTTTATCATAAGTATGTCACGCTCGATTGAGCGATAAAAAACAAAACAAAAAAGTATGGGAGCTAAATACGAGCGGCGGATGTATACATTTTGAGAGTCTCGAGCGTGTGTATAGCTCGGCAGCAGAGTTGTATACACACAATGTGTCACATTGTTGAACATTCCACGTGAAACTCTGTTGAAAGTTGAAACTGCGACACAAAATATTCTCCGATTACTCCGATACACTTACACACACACACACACAATACAATGTAAAGCTTATTAAATTTGTCTCCGATAAGATGCAAACAAATTTTACTCTTTGGCAATTTCATTAATTAATGTGTGCCTACATGTGTGTGGGTGTATTTTTAGCGCTCGCCGCTTCATTCCGTATGTCTGCACTCAACCACCCGGCGCCACCGTCATTATATTATAGTTTCGTAACTCCTGTCCTCTGCAGGTGTGATAACTGATAAGTGATAAGATGCGCAGGCATGATATCGGGAGGGCCTATAGTAAGTGTATATAATAGTTACGAGAGCGCAGGTCTCGGTCCGTTTCTCCGGAGAAAAAATAAAACAAGAACTATGTATGTATTTTTACAGAGCAAAGCAGATATCTGAAGAGAACTATATATGCTCTTCAACTTACACGTATATACTCCACCAGACACTACGTAATCCTATAGTTTACAAATTTTGTAGTATTGTATCCACATCGCACGTAAACATTTACATGTGTTGGTATATATGGGAGTAACGTGCGTCAATGACGGATCATCGTCGACTCGACGTATCTCGCGCGCGTGCTCGCAGAGTTTGGCCCAGCCCCGCCATCTTTGTGGGGCTGCTATGCTTCCTCTCTCTCTCTCTCTCTCTCTTTCTGTAATGCATCTCTCTCGTTATACTCTTCCAGGAATTAGGAGTCCTGTCCAAGAGAGAGAGAGAGAGAAAGCAGGTGTGTATAGTATAGTATGCATGATTACATTGCAGTATAGTAGTAAAAGGTGGTGTGTATAAACGGTGTCGGTGTCGACAGTCGGCGCTCTCTTTCCGGCACTTGCTTTGCGCTGCTGCTGCTTTTGTGTGTGTGTGTCTCTCTCTCTCTCTCTCTGGGGGCTGCGCTCAGCGCTCAGGCTGGGAAAATAGGTGTATATTATTGTATACATGTGTTACACGACAGTATAGGCTATGGTTGTATGTACCACTTTCTCTCTTGCGCTGAAGTGCTGAAGCCTGGAGTACATATATATAGTGTGATCGAAATAAAAAAAAAAAAAAAAAGATACACACGAGAGAGAATAAGGGGTATATAATAACTTAGCGTCGGAGGAGGGGGGGGGGGCACAACTCTCATGTATATGTGTGTGTCTTCTCTGCTCTATATTGTACTCTCCCTTCGTGCTTGAGCTTTTGGAGCTTGGATGGCGCAGGCTAGTAAGCTCGTTGAGCTACAGCTACAACAACAGCACTGAGGATGGTGATCACCGTCGTCGTAGTTGGTCGCGGGTATGGCGGATGAGGCCTTATTTGAGGAGGAGTCGTGTGTTAAAACATATACATATATATGCGTTTGTACAGTGTGTACAGAGCATAGCAGAAGAGAGCTCCTCAGCTCCACTTGTCTCTCACAATCTACATGTATATATATATCTATATGCAGTGGTAGCAGAAGTGTGCGATAAGTATAAATAAATAACAATATATATATATATATCAGGAGGTGGATCAAGAGAGAGGCGGTATAATTATTATTAAAAAAAAAAAAAAAACGAATTAAAACTTGATAATTGTAATACAAATGAAGTGTCTATTTTGTGCAGAAAAAAGTAAACCACGCTTGACTTCTGAGAAAAAAAAGGTTAATATTACAGCACGTATTAACCAACGAATCGAAATTATAAATAATACATGATGTATATACGTATTATCTGTATTTTGGTGTCATCATCTCATGCTGTCATCTACATCAGTCGCATGTATTTGTATGAAAATATAAAAGTTCAACGCAATGCTCTCTACGAGAAGTACATAATGGTGAGGTGGCCTTTTGTTTTACTCTACAGCTGCAGGCTTTTTTTTCTTGGCATAATTCGTACCTGTCGAGCCGTCACATCCTTCGGTGTGCGACGAACAGCCTCCCTCAGCTTCAGCCTCTGTGTGCGCCCGGCACAACATACATTACAATCATAATGTACTTTAGGTAAAAAAAAAAAAACCCGCTTTGCAACGAGTAAAATTTTTTTTTTCTCTATTTCCCCTTAATTTTTAAGACCTTATTTAAGAAGTTAGTATATAGCGAGAAAGACTCGTCGCTTTCTTTCGCTATGATATACGCAGGTATATAGTTATATAGCTGTAGTCGGCATTTCCATGCACCACTCCTCTCTCCGTAGGCACATATTCAGTATACCCCTTCCACGCGTCTCCGAAGTATGTGCCTACNTGATTCAAAAAAAAAAAAAAAAAAAGAAGAAAAAGTGCGAGCCGTTTTGTATGATACACAGTGTGCGCGTACGTGGGTGTGTGTGCGTGGTGCTGGTGCAGAAAGAGGCCATCAACGCGGGCGGCAGCAGCAGGTAACGAAGCTCATTTTGGAGCAAGCTAGCTGCAAGTGTGGTATATACATATAGGTGAGTGAGAGTAGTGGCAGGGGTCAGAGAGCAATAAAACAGCAGCCGACAACATTCTGAGAAAACTTGACATCCGCGGAGCCTTGGGGGGCTCCTCCTCGTCCTCGAGCGGCGGAGGTAGTGGCGGTGGCGGCGGTGGTGGAGCAGGAGGTGGCGGAGGTGGAGGCGGTGGCGGTGCGGGAGCAGCAGCAGCAGCAGCATCGGCGGCGTCCAGCTCTTCTAAGATGGGCAACAATGCCACGAGCTCCAACAAAAAGGTCGACGCGGCCGAGAGTGTCAAAGAGTTCCTCGAGCAGGCCAAGGAGGAGTTCGAGGACAAGTGGAAGCGCAACCCGACCAACACGGCCAGCCTCGATGACTTTGAGCGCATCAAGACACTCGGCACCGGGAGCTTCGGCCGCGTCATGATAGTCCAGCACAAACCGACCAAGGAGTACTACGCCATGAAGATCCTCGACAAGCAAAAGGTTGTCAAGCTCAAGCAAGTTGAGCACACCCTCAACGAGAAGCGCATACTCCAAGCTATCAGTTTTCCCTTCCTCGTCTCGTTGCGCTTCCACTTCAAGGACAACTCGAACCTATACATGGTCCTCGAGTACGTGCCCGGTGGCGAGATGTTCAGCCACCTGCGCAAGGTCGGTCGCTTCTCCGAGCCAACCTCGCGCTTCTACGCCGCCCAGATAGTCCTTGCGTTCGAGTACCTGCACCACCTCGACCTCATCTACCGGGATCTCAAGCCCGAGAACCTGCTGATAGACTCGCAGGGCTACCTCAAGGTCACCGACTTTGGTTTCGCCAAGCGCGTCAAGGGCAGGACGTGGACGCTCTGTGGCACCCCCGAGTACCTCGCGCCCGAGATCATACTCAGCAAAGGCTACAACAAGGCAGTCGACTGGTGGGCCCTCGGGGTGCTCGTCTACGAGATGGCCGCTGGTTATCCGCCCTTCTTTGCCGACCAGCCCATACAGATCTACGAGAAGATCGTCAGCGGCAAGGTGCGCTTTCCCACCCACTTTGGCTCAGATCTGAAGGACCTGCTGCGGAGTCTACTCCAGGTCGATCTGACCAAGCGCTTCGGCAATCTCAAGGCCGGCGTCAACGACATCAAGGGTCACAAGTGGTTCTACACCACAGACTGGATAGCCGTCTTCCAGAAGCGAGTCGAGGCACCCTTTATACCGAGGTGCAAGGGCCCTGGGGACACCAGCAATTTCGACGATTACGAAGAAGAGGCGCTCCGAATTTCCTCGACTGAGAAGTGTGCCAAGGAATTCGCCGAATTTTGAAGGCTAGGACTACTTCTCGCCAATGGATATGTCAAACAGTCAACGTGGTCAACGACGAAGCCGTTAACCCCGACGTCGTCAGGCAGCTCTGCTAATAGAGCTGCTGCCCTTGAAGCAATGTCAACAACAGTAGCAGCAGCAGCAGCATCAGCCGCTTGAGCAGCCAGCTTCGGTCAGCTGGTTGTCAACTGGTAGCTCTATATTGCTTCTGCTGCTCGAATATAATTTGATCATTACTGCTACTACTATCAGTACTATACTACAACTACCATCAGTCTCTACCTTGTCCTGAAATTGTCATCATCATCATCAGCAGCAGCAGCGGTATTAAAATACCACTACTACTTCTATACTATGTAACTATTATATTACCAGTGAAAAAGTGAATAATGAGGAAGAAAGAAGATACAGAGGAGCCATGCTGCACTGATAATCATATCAGAAGTGTATCCCCCCTCCCAGCCTTCTGTATACCTTCATATACTGCACACATCCCCAGTGACAGTAACATTAAGCATGCAGTGTCTTACAAGCAAGCTCAAGCTCTTGTGATGTCTTTGTCCGCTAATTTTATGGACTTTTTGGACTTTTATCCCCCCCCCCCAGAGCTGGTGCAACTACTATGTTATATCCCTTCTATTAATAGGCTGCTGCTGTGCAATTCATTTATTGCCTACCTTCCACAGCCTCAGACTTTTATAGCCAGAGTCCCAGGAGTAAGGTTGATTTCTTAGATTAAAAAAAAAAAAAAAAATAATGATAAATAATGTGCTGAGTGATTATGAAGGAGAAAGATAATGTATGCTGGTCAAAGTTTAAAGTGAAAAAGTGTGGTAATTCCTACAAACTTATTTTTAGCATTCTTGGTACCAATTAATAAGTACTTGCTCGTTGTTGAAGAAGAAGAAGAAGAAGAGAAAATAATATGGAGCAACTTTTGTTGTCACCAAATATTATCGACAGTTATACATTATGTGAATTTTTGTTTTATTTTATTTTTTTTAAGTTCTTAGGTTCGAAAGAGCCAGAAGGAAAAAGCTTTATCTTTTTTACTACATCCATGCAAATGCACCTACTGGATTTTGAGAATTATACAATTGGTATGGTTGGAAGAAAAAAAGAAAAAAAAGCAAAGCAAAGAAAGTCAAAGTGTTTATGTTAAGTGGTGCACACGCAGTTTTAGTACGAGTGAAGTGAGACTTATAGATAAAGTATAATATGATCATTGTATGTGAGTGCAAAACAAATTTAAATATACATATATATAAATCATTGTTTTTATGACAAGGGCAAGAATTAATGTGGATTTTCATGTGTTCTGAATTCATTGGAATGTCTATAGGGATCAATGTCAGAGACCGTGTGTGTGAGAGAGAGAGAGAGAGAGAGAGAGAGAGAGAGTGGCAAGGAGCAGAGAGAGGTTAAGAAGCACACACCAGCAAATACTTATATCTGCAATTCCTGCGCGTTGAGTAAAAAAGAGAGCGTGATGTATTGTGAGATGTATTACCACTCTACATGATACATATTTATGTATATGTATATACAGCAATTAACAACACACACACGAGTAAGAGGGAAAAGAAATGGTGACAAAAGATTCAAAAATAGTTGAAAAATGAAAATGATACCCAAGAAGGAGGAAAAAAGAGCTTTTTTTTCTTCCAAATACATATAAAGTATACATAAAAATAAGTAGCTACGTAAATAAAAAAAAAAAAAAAGCGTGATCATGGGTCCAGATGCTCTATAATCGTAGACTGAAAATTTTCAATCCAAACAAGGGTATACATATTATACACAACGCAACATCTGGCCTTCTGCACACTCGCCTGCTTGCTCATAGAAAAAACTATGTTGCTTTTATAATTTAGAATAACGCGTTCTCCGAAAAATTTATCAAATTCTTTTTTTTTTTTTTTTTTTTTTTTCTCTCTCCACAACAAGCAATACGTCGATCAATTTATATTGCATAAGCGTGGAAGAATGTCAAAGCTTCCTCACAGAGTAACGAATGTTCTCTTCAATCAACGTGAAATTGGGAAACGAAGGGCTCACGCACCTTTTCAAATGAACGAATCCTCGTAGTTTTTACATCTCGACGATGATGGATCTTAATAAATATCTATTGGGTAATTTTCCCAGAACATGTTGCATTGTTAGCTTGCGAGTTTGCTTAAGGCCCCTGCGTTGTTATACTTACTAAACGCTTGCTAACGAACACGTACACAACACGAGACAAAACATACAACATGCGAAATAAAAAAAAAATAAATAGAAAAAAGTTGGAATTGAAAAATGTTGACTGTAAGCCTTTTTTTGACGCAAACGAGGAATTTTTTTTTTTTTTTTTTTTTTTCAAACTTAAGTCAAAAGAGAACAAGAGGGTAAGGACAAGCTTAGAAAACTAAACATTCGCAAGACACATGCACACACAGCACATTGTAAAGTTGCATATATTTATATAGTCACGCGCGCGCGACAGTGTTTTTTTCTACGGTGCAATAAGTATAATATACAATAAGTACCTTGAACAGCTATTAAATGGACGCACACATGCGATGTCTAAGACGTAGCTGTCCAAGGGCCTGAACGATATAACATGATGATATACAAATACGCATATATGCCATAATAGATAAATAAATAAATTAAATTAAATAATAATAATAATAATAATGATAAATGAAATCGTGCTGTGTAGCTAATAGGGCCTCTGCCGAAAGTTCGGGCGAGCGCTGTTTTTTCACCTCCGTTGCTATTATTATTACAGACTGTTCATCCCCCTCCCCCAAAACGTGCTTCCTCGAATTTTTGGCCCTCCCCTCCTTCCCTTTGAGTATGTATCTGAAAATTCGCGAAATAGCATATTATATACGTTTTACGTCTGCGAATCGCACCACATTCAACGTAATACACTCGATGAACAAAAACAAACAAACAAATAAAAAACTAATAATAATAATAATTATNTTATTTGGCGCTGTTCATTTGAATTTTAAGTAATGGCGTTATTCATTTTTAAGATGAAGAAAAATGAAAATAAATGGAAAAAGCGAGTACGTAAGTGTATACGCACGTGTGTGTGAAAGAGTATAAGATGGACAGGTGATTAATACTTGTGTATGAGCGAGAGAGCAAATGAATAAGCGAGATTTTAATTTTAGAACATTTCGCGTCCGAAAAAAGAAGAGTGCGCGCGCATAAGTCCGAGGCTTCTATTCGCAAGAGTTTATTTTTGCATCTGTGCGTTTCCACTTGTACCAAAATTCACACTCGTCCATCGTCGCACACGCCCTCAAACGAATGTATCAAGCGTTTCGATTTATTTAAAAGAAAAAACGATTGTGCGCAGTTTTTAAATCGTCATAAATTTTTGTTTTCCCATGTATACAGGTACCTGCCCCTCTTATAAAATAAAAGATGTTTCTTAAGCCTGTGTAACAATTTTTTTTTTTTTTTTTTATTTAAATATTTTATTTGATCATCAAGTGAAAATTGGCGCGTGTGCTGGATTGCGAATTAAATGTGCGAGTATGACGAGAATGAGAAAATTATGAGCAAAATAAAAGATGATTTTGGTTACCCTCCTTATTTCGTTCGACGTATTTATAATATATATGCCTGTATAAATACACACATGTGTATCCGCGTGTATATTTATACGTACGTATATGTGTATATTTACATACAAAAACACACATCGTATCGATCTTTATTCGTTTTGTACTAGTCTGTAACGGAGGAATAATTAATCATTGTATATAGAAAATGATGTTAAACGATATTCAACTAATGATAAACAACAAAAAAAAGAGATAAAAAATATACGATAAAATAAGTGTATGATAATTGTTTAATTTATTATTTTCACACGAAAAATCCAAAATTATATACTACCGGCACGACGAGCTTCACGACAAATTTTACTCTCTTGCAACTTCACCCTCGACTTCACCTACTTTAATTTTTAGGCAATACAATATACAACATACCCGCGCGTATATATATATATACATTAAACTTTTACGAGTATATCATTGATGGAAAGAGGAGAAAAAAAAAAAAATTTTTTGTTTCCAGTATCTAGTCGTCCTTCTTTTTAACGATAACAACTCGTAGAGTCAAACGAAACGTGTGTACCTTGCCTTCTTACGTATCTAACCTCCCCTTCCCCCCCCCTCCGATATGTACATATTACACCCACACAGAGACACGTACACAAAAAACTTGTACCCACTTCCCCTTTTAATATATATATATATATGTATGTATATGTATAAATAAAACCCTCAAATGTAGCCGATACACGTTACGTGTGTTTACGTATACGAGTACAAGTTATCTGTATCCAAAGCCCACGGAATTATATTACCGGTGTTATACATTATAATGTTGTAATGCCAATTTTGGAACGAAAAGTCTCATTTCAAACGTCAATATTACACACGAGTTTCATTTTTCTTTCGAAAGGAAGTGCGTTTCTCGCTGTACGTTTTATTTATTTGTTGAAAAACAAGTTTTTTTTTTTTTTTTTTTTTTTTTTCTTCAAACGCGACCGATTGTCGATTTAGGATGGAAAAAAATGCTTCCAGGCTTCGATCGTCTGCGCGTAATTGAGAATTGAGTTCAATCATCGGCTCAATTAATACGTGCTTCTCAACCGAGAGAGCACCGACAACAATAATACACGCATGTATAAATGATCATTGGGACGCTCGAATCGAATTTATAAATGATTTAAATATTTGTTGAAAAAAGGGAAACAAAAGCGCGAATGAAAATTTTTCTTTGATGTATAGTCGAGGACAAAAAGAAAATTGTAATACCGAGTGTATATAAATATAAAATGTGTATTTTATTTTCAACTATGTTGTGCAATTTTTTGATTAATTTTTTTTTTCCTCTTGGTTTAGAAAATTCCTGTCGTTACGAATAGTGAAAACAATGACTATTGTCAGTGTGCATAAGTATTTTGCAGTATGTACTATATAAATATGTATGCGTAAGCGAATTCTGTTCAACATTGTAGGTAAGTAATTTTTAAGTTTGTAGCAAATTCTCTCGTTGCATTGTTATGTTTTTCTCTTTTCTTGTACAAAAATATTTTATATGGTTATTTTCTTGATCTTAAACATCGTTGATTATTTATATGTGAATAAAAAAATAACTAATTAATTAATCAACAACTCGTAATTTAATACAATTTTTAGTTCCCACATTTTGTGAAGGAAAGAGAAAAAGAGGATGATCATGGAGATAAATATATGTATATATTATAGCTCGAGCTCTGAAAAATAAGAGATTTTTAATTCAATTTTAATGTAACTTTTAAATCTATTACCGAACAATTTTATCGTGAGACTTATAGATAAAGTATAATATGATCATTGTATGTGAGTGCAAAACAAATTTAAATATACATATATATAAATCATTGTTTTTATGACAAGGGCAAGAATTAATGTGGATTTTCATGTGTTCTGAATTCATTGGAATGTCTATAGGGATCAATGTCAGAGACCGTGTGTGTGAGAGAGAGAGAGAGAGAGAGAGAGAGAGAGAGTGGCAAGGAGCAGAGAGAGGTTAAGAAGCACACACCAGCAAATACTTATATCTGCAATTCCTGCGCGTTGAGTAAAAAAGAGAGCGTGATGTATTGTGAGATGTATTACCACTCTACATGATACATATTTATGTATATGTATATACAGCAATTAACAACACACACACGAGTAAGAGGGAAAAGAAATGGTGACAAAAGATTCAAAAATAGTTGAAAAATGAAAATGATACCCAAGAAGGAGGAAAAAAGAGCTTTTTTTTCTTCCAAATACATATAAAGTATACATAAAAATAAGTAGCTACGTAAATAAAAAAAAAAAAAAAGCGTGATCAT